TTTTACTTGAGTAAAAGTCTTGAGTTGATACTTGAACTTATCCCGAAGTCTATTTAAACTTTTCTATGAAGTGCAGCAGTGCTCTTTAAATACAAAGCAAACTTTCTCCCAAGGGAGACAAATAAAGAATTTTGACTTGACTTGACTAAATAATGAATGTGAATGCGTTTGACAACTCTGCATGTAATTAATGATAATAACTGAGCCTAATATATAATTACAAGTCAGTCTCTACTTTCATTTGAAGGAGTTTTGATTGTCTTTTAAATCTAAAAACTCCCAAACCTGTATGACCATAAAGGATGTCAGGATGTAAAACATTTAAACAAGGCTGTTTTTTGGGCGGGGGGGTGGTTTGATCAAGGTTTTTTTATTATTTTTTTTAACATAAACCACAAAAAAGAACAGACTTACACAAAACAAAACACACACACACACAAAATCTCTCCCATCCCTCCCCGCCTATACCAGATCTATTGTCTGTACATGAAACCGTTTTGTATTCATATATCAGAAAATACAAAGCACAGGTTTGTGTACAAAGAACCAATATTTGACCATTAGACAAAGTTATCTGCTGAAATTTTTTCTACATAAGATATAAATGGCTGCCAAATGTCAAAAAAAATGTTTACAGATCCCCTAACAGTTTATCTATTCTTCTCTAAATGAATGTAAGACATAACTTCTCTTAACCAATGACCAAATACTGGAGGATGTGGATCCTTCCAWCGAAGAAGAATAAGTCTTCTAGCCAGTAGAGAGCAGAAAGCTAACACCGTCCTCTGATGTTCACTGAGGGAAGCTTCTGCTGGAGCCACCCCAAAAAGAGAGATGAGTGGTGATGGATGAACAGTTCGTCCAAATAGTCCTGAAAAGGTATCAAAGATGCCTTGCCAGTATCCATGTAGCTTCGGACAGGACCAGAATGTGTGCAGAAGTGTGGCAGGAGATTGTTTGCAGCGATCACACGTAGGATCCAAGTCCTTTTTGAATTTGCACAATCTGTCCTTAGACCAGTGTAGACAATGTACTACCTTGAATTGAACTATAACATGTTTCACACATATTGAGGACGAATATATATTTTGAATAATTTTTTGCCAAACTGTRTCTGATATGGATTCCTCCAAGTCCATCTCCCAMTTSCCCTTCAAAGAAACTAAATTGGGTCAGAAAATGAGCCGAGCAGAGAATAAACTCTRCTCATAGAGCGTTTTCAACGCTGTTTTTTAAATCAGTTTTTACTCGGAGGTAAACACCAAATGTGCAGACCTCCAAATACACAAGGTTTAGTTATTGTTTCCAACTGTGTGAATAAATAGATGAACAGATCATTTTTACTAAAACAGACCTGGAAGCAGCTGTGGGAGGGTTTGTGGTTTGGCTAAGATTAATATGTGATCACAGTTGGATCCTATATCCTCTTTTAGACACAAACAGGTTGGATTTTTTTAGCAGTTCTATCCTTGTTCATCTCAAAGACATGAAAACTATTTTTCCTGTAACTCTACCCTCTGCCTCCCTCTTCATCCTGATGATTACTGTTTTAATAAGTCAGTCCTTTTTTTCTGTGTGTAAACAAATAGAAAATGTCCTCCGTAGTCTGCTGGTGTCTGCAGACAGACAAACAGAATAACAGAGCGAGTTTCCGGACTGTTTGTTTATCGGTTTATTTTATTCAGCTCAGAGGTCAGAGGTTCCCACATTGAGCTGCGTTCCCATCCTGCTCCTGATGGGGCCGTCCCCAGCAGCAGCCGCTCCCCGGGGGGACCGTCAGATTGAATTTATGGTGTCAGACGTGGGGGCAGCGCTAAAAATATCCATCATTTTGAAATGAGAAATAAAAACAATCAGGGAGCATTTAAGAGGTTTTTTTATTGTGACCTGAGAGGAGGAATTTTCTCAGAGGGKTTTTTTTTTTCTCAGGAGCAATATATCGTGAATTTTATAGTCATTTCTGCAAACAAATAATTTTTTTAATCTTTGCAAGCATAACGTGCTTTTTTTCTGTCAGAATAACTGCGTAATATAAATCGGACTGTGCWGTAAAGATTTAAAATGAGAGTTTCAATAAACTGCTGCAATTTATTAATTATTTTTTTATCTGASTTGTTTTAAGATTATACCAATCCACTCTGATCAGACTAGCTGTTAGATCATTAATCTGATGCTCAGGTTCTCTATTCACATTTTAACCTTCACAAAAAAAGGGTTTTCTTTCCCATCACACTTTGTCTTGACTTACTATTWTGATCAAAGATGGCACAGTATCTGATGATGATGACGGTCACTCTTAACCCACAGGAGACAGGAAAGAAAAACAATAGTGTAAAAAGGCCCACCGAAGGATGTTGGCACTCAGGAGAATTTGTATGGAGGAGAGGAAAYGCTGGGTGGAAGTAATGAGAGCAGATAACAATGAAGGAAGCAGAGCTGTGAAAAACTGAAGCACAGTAAGAGAGAGTTTTAGCTCTGAAGAGAAGGGAAGTGAACATCCAGGGCCTTACTGGATCCGACCACTTCAGCACCRTTTATAGAGCAGCTGATTAAAACAAACACTCGGGATCAGCTACAGACAGAGGTTAGCAAAGTATCCAAAAGCTGCACTCAAGTATGAGTAAAAAGGTATTATGTAATGAGGCTACTCGAGTACTGAGTAACTGATTATAATATCTGATTTAATATTTTTAAAATGATGTCATCGGACTGAAAAATAGAAAACTATTTGCAAAATCTGGTATTTTAAAGACTAAAATTAAGAAAATTTATACAAATTACAACAGAAG